GGGAGTCGGTACCGCCCTCCTGCAGCTCGGGGAGCCCGGCCGGGAGCCGTCCCGGTGTTGTTGTCCGTGCTGGGCTGGGCCCTGTGGCATCTCTTGTTGAGCTGCGCTTTGTTTTAGCGGGTTTAGGGTCTTAACTCCAGAGTAAAAAGGCTTGTGTTGTTTGGCAGTCGGTTTGTGCTGCGGTGGTTTGAACGCTGAGGTTTGATCTCTGAGCTGCGTCTCGCTAATGATCTGCCCTTTATTCCCAGGGTTGCCATGGCACTGCCAGCAAAGAGGTGTGGGAGGCCTCCAGTGTTGTCGTTTCTGGAAAAGAAAAGAAGGAAGCAAAGTCTTGATAGGAGAAGGGGGAAAACAAGGATTTATGTGGGAAGTCATATTGAGCGATGGTTGACCCTTAAGGAAAAGCTGGATTTCAGAAATGATGCAGAGGTTGCAGGGTTTTTACTGGACCTGTGAGTAGCCTGTCACAATACTCCTGTTTCTGAATGCCAAGGACATAACTGTTGGTGTTAATATCAACTGTATTTTCTTTTTAGGTATGACAGCTACAATCCATTGTCAAAAACTCTGGTCTGTCCCCTCCCTGAGGGTGTGAGAAGAATGACTGTGAAAGAAGAAAGAGGATTGTCAGGCACCATTTCTCTAATAGCAGCTGATGGAACGTGAGTAGAGCACTCTCCTTGTGTGTGAAGAGCAGGAGAAAGGTTTTTTTTTCTTGATAATAATTGAAAGACCATTGCTGTCACTCAAAAAAATGCAAATGGGGCAGAAGTTGTGTGAGAAAGAGGAAAGTATACAGCTAACTTCATGAAAATGAAATGTTTTTTATATACCTTGTAGAAGAGCTTGTGGGTTTGGTTTGTTGTTTGTATTTTTGAGCACCTGATACTAGTGTGGATGAAACAGAAACAAAGCTTTATTTTTTGCAGAAGAAATGTTTTAATCAACAATTTGGGTTGTATTGACAGGTATGACAACGATGACCAGTTGTCTAAAGAATCTCCTTGTTCTGAACTTGAAGATGTGAGACTTGTAGCTGTGAAAGAGGAGAGGGAGAGGCCACATGACTGCTTGTCAACAGACACGTTAGTGACACTATGTTGTTTTTGCATGTTTTGCACTTGGAAATATATTGCATTTATTTTGTCGCCACTTTTAATTTTGGTCGTTAGGAACTCATGTCATTCATGCTCTGATTCATCACCTGAAAACGTGTTGGGACATAATGGTTGGTCCAGTCCTTCTGAGGCAAGGATCTGAGAGAGATTCTGGCAAAGCTCTAAGACTCTGAGAGTACACTCAGCAAACCTGCTTGTTCAGTGACTGCCTTCCTTAACTGGAGACCAGATTCACAGAACAAGGAAAGAGCTGGTGTACCCTAGGCACTTGGTAAGCAGCTCCATTTTCACAGCAGTACAGTCTCCAGGCAAGTGCAATTGCCTGTGCTTGAACCTTTCTCCAAAGCAAAATGTTTCATTGTTGACTGAGTGATTTTACATAAAAAGTGACATGTTCACCTGTCTATAAAAACAGTGTTGTGCTCATGGAGGGAACCACCCCGTCATTGGACTGCTGATTGCTTTTACTGCAGTGTCATCAGTAACTGAGGCATTCACAGTTGAGATCAGAGGAGCTTCCAATAGGTATGCTTGTCCATTCCTTTTTATTTAGGTTTGAATTATCCACTGCAGCCTTACTGAATCATTGTAATTTCATTCACATCTTTACCTCACTTTTCAAAAAAATTGTGTCTTTTAATGTGTGCAGGGGGACACTGAGAACCTGGGACATTCCATTGGCATTGCATGATGTGTCCAAACCCCTCCAAGTACGTAATGGATGTAGATGTTTGTCTCAATCTCATTTTCCACTGTGTTTTTGCCCTGTCTCTTCCCTAATTCTTTCTTACTTTTGATTTTAGTAGGTGAACGAGTTGGGGGTCTGAAAACAATTCAGTGGCACAGAGTAACTCTTGGAAGCTAGATCAGGAGAAAATAAAATGCCAGTGCTGATGAAGCTGACAAATTCAAGGACATTCTTCAAACTAGCATTTTTCTCTGGCAACATGATTTTAGTTGGGAGTGTAGCACTAATTGAATTCCTGGGATTTATTTGATACAGGTGAGACAGAAGATTCTTAATTGATTGCTAATTTCAGCCTTCTGAAACGTGAGAAATACTGGGAAATTTTTTTTTGTGTGGTTCAGTGGTCAGGGGGTCGTAGGGCTGAGGGTTGGACTTGATGATCTTGAAGGTCTTTTCCAACCTTGATTTTAAAAAAAAAATGGTCTGCACAGTGGTCAAGTGATTTCCCCAAAGTCATGCTGGTAGCTGAACTTGGGTCTTAAAAGTAAGACTAAATTCAATTACTCAGTGTTTTTAGATGAGTGGGCAAAATTCTGTTGTAGAAAATAGTGGTTTTCCTTCAGGAAGGAGCAGTGTTTATGTTAATGTATCATTTTATTTTATTTTTTAAAGGTGTGGAACTGCCCTGCACTGCACAGGGTGCAGATGAAAGCAGGTATTTCCTGCTTTCCAGGCATTTGGGTGTCATGTTTTCCTGCTGTTATTATTTTGAGCCATACAGAGTATGTCTTTTCATTCTATGCTGCTGTATAAGGTCCAGGAAAAGAACAAGGTCTTATTGAAGGTGCTTTGATAACAAATTCTGAAGTAATAGTAAGAAAGCAGCTTCTGTATTCTAGGACTTACTATCTAGTCTAGTTTTAGATTGGCTAAACATGATCTGTGTTGAAGAATTTGAAATAGCAAAGAACACTTAAACTCACCTGCATCATCAGTGGTTTTATTGTTTGGTTTCCGTCTTGTTTTTGGAGTCTTGCCTGATGGGAGATGAGTTTTCAGAGGCTGCTGGTGGTGTGAACAACTAGGCTGATGGAGAAACAGTAAGGGAGTCAAGCAGCAGGGCTTTAGAGATTCTTGCCAAGTGAAATGGTGCAGTTTTCTGAGGTCTGGCTATTGTGAGGAGTTGAAATGTTGAAATAATGCAGAAAGAAAGGAATGCATAGGAATCTGATTTGTTGTAGTAATAGTAGTAGGTCATGGCCAAAGGGAAGTGTTACTGAGCCATGTCCAGTTAAGTTCTGGAATAGATTCTGTTCTTCTCTAATGCTTATCCTATTATTAACTTCCAACTTTAACATTTAGAATGCTTACCTACCTAGGTGAAAATTATTTTTCTGATTTACATGTAGCAAGTATAAAACTGCCCCAGCAGATAACATATCATTTATTCATTAGTGCTTATTATTCAATCTGACATCAAGATTGAAGAATGATGAGTTCAAGTTGTTGGAACAGTGTTTTCTGAGGAAAGCTTAGGACGATATGGATTCTTTTACTTCTGCAATATTTGAGTGACATTCAAAAACTCCTTTACCTGACAAAACTGACTTTCCTGGGATTTGATTATGGGTTGTATCTTTTTTCACCTTGATTAACTAAAATGAACCAGAATACAAATGCAAAAGAAATACTTAAAAGTGTCATGGCAGTTTGGTGAGGAAGACTGAAACCCCTGGTATGAGTTGGTGTCTGTCATTAGGAAATGATTAGTTGGGAAGCCCCTACTTTGAAGGAAGGCTTCAGCTTCAGTTCCTGTCTCTCCTAAAATGGTAGTGGCAATTCCTTTTACAATGAAGTTTTGCTACGTAGCTTTTCTCACAATCATGGGACCTTCCAACAGTCTGCATGGCAGAATTTTCCTGTATCTTAAGTAATCTGTTGTTTGAAGAGTTGTACTATTACTGTCCAGACAAGGCAGTTGTAAATTGTAATTCCCTAACTTGGAAATAACACAAACATTTGTGAGGAAAAGTGCAGCAAGCTGTTAATGTTGAAGACTTGCCATGACACCAGTGGGAACAGCTGAAGAGTTTCTTAGCAAGCAGAAAAGTAAAACTTAAAGTATATTTAAAAGAAAAAAAAACAAACCAACAAAACACCAAAAAACCAAAAGCCCAAACCTGATAAAATAGTCTGTGAGGCAGGTTATTTTATTCAATGCTTTGTTTTCACTAGTCTGCATTCATACTTTGGCCAGACTTGGTCTGAAATGACAATTCTTTGCTGAACTAGAGGACTCTGCACATACTTGTTTTGGTCTTCAGTGTTCATAGTTTGTTTTTAATTTAAAAAGCCAAACAACCCTGACAAACCACAGTCTGTGGTTATGTCAATAATCTGACTTGAAAGTGAATGTATAACATGGTTTTTCCATACAGAAATTAAGACGGAGTGGTGAGTCTAAGACACTTAAATAATTTACTTTATTGTGATGATAAATGTTCATCTTTATTTCACTGCAGTGAAGCCTGTGTGTAGACATAAAAGCAGATGTTGGTCTGTTGATATTTATTGCACATACAAATGCACAAATGGAATGATTGTCCTATTTTCCATTATTTTAGAGTTAAATTAGGGAAATGTACTTGCCTAGACATACTTTGTGTAACAATGCCAATGTGTTTCATGTTTAATATTAAACAGATTTCATATGTAACTGTTACCATTGTGTTGCTTTTCAGGGTGATGCCGGAAGAAAAATCAAGCTCTTGCATAACAATAAGGGGGCCACTTTGATTTTGCTGTGAGGATACTGTGAACTGTAAAGAATTATGATAAGTTGTAGTGTGAAGTTCTATGTTACTCTCAGAACAGCACATTAAGTTTAATTCCTAAAGTTTTGTTGTGTTATGTTAACATTAATAAAGTGTGTGGAATGGATTATTTCCCCAGGAGAGTCTGTTTATAATTCTTTGAAGGGCAACCAGGAACAAGCCAAAGAAGCAATAGGTGTTGCTCAAGATTTAGCATTTGTTAACTTTCTGTAGGTTGTGTTACTGGAAAAATTCTTCTAATTTTATTTAAAACTTCAGGAGTTAAAATAGAAACAATATCCTAGTAGTAGCTGAAGCATCTAGCATGCTTCCATCCTGAATGTGTTTCTTGGAATGCTGTTTTCCTAAGGGAGCAAGTTTAACATGTCCCACATCCTGGAAGGTATTCTTGCAGGTTATTGATGCACTTAAAAATGATGAGGAAAAACACTGAGATATAGTGTGTTCTGTTAGTGCCTTCTAAAATACGAGTATTCAAGATCAGATACTATGTTGTTTATCTAAATATATTTCATTATTGAATAATTTGCTATCTTGCTTTGGCTTTTGATACTATGCAAGCTGATATATGATGCTTCTTAATTATTTTCTTCTGTAACAAAGATTAAATAAGTCTGAAGTACTTTCAGTGACTGAAGTTCAGTCACTGCCAACCAATAGTGCTGGCAGTTCTGAACTGTTTTTGTAGTTACTAAGTATGAGTAATCCTGGAAAGTTTTTGACTGAGAAATGGTGAAATTAGTATGTTAGTATTCAGTGCGTGTTTGTCAGAAGGACAGAAACTACCAGTCTTCAGATTATTTTTTTTATTATTTTTTTTCTTTAACCACACACTTTCATAAGTGTTTAGGTCCTGATCTTAACAGTATTCAAACCAGCTGGGTTTTCCCATCAACTTAACTTAGGACAGCCACTCACCATGGAGAAATTCCCCTAATTAGATCATTACACTCTACATTCAGTTTTTTAATGAGCTGCTTCACTTCATCTGCTATAAAATACTGCTGCTCTTCAATACTGTTGCTTCTGAAGTATAAAAATTCAGTGTTACCTTATTAACAATGTATCTTGTGTTGCACAGATAGTTCTTTTTAAATAAAGCAGAGGAGATGATTTGTTGAAGCTTTCTCAAAATGAAAACACCACTTCCCATGTGTTTCTGTTCTCTCTTTGCTCTGTACTTCCGAATATTTATTTGGCTGCCAAGCAGTCATTCATATCAATGACTCAGTTTGGCTCACAGAAGTATGTGTAGTGCCACTAGTTCTCATTTAAATGTCTTTCAGTGCTCTCAGATTTTCTATTGTCACTGTCATCACAGTGAAAAGGAAAGAGGACATCATCTCTTACATTCTTCTCCAACATTTACAAGATCAGCAGAAGAAAATGAAACTGCAGGAGATTATTTCAGTAAGGATTTCTGTCCTGCTGTCAGCCTGTCCAGC